ATGAGCGAAATCGAATTTTCGACCCTTGCCGAGTTATTTTCCATATTTATGGACAGGGACTCTTAAGGATATTGTAATTGTTATGATTAAGGGCGATAATATATAACTACCACTAATTTCGCTGTCTCTTTCGCAGCCATTATTAGGGTCATAACGCGATGTGCTAATCTTTATCTCGAGTGAAACAGGCCTTTCAGTGTAGGGCTCAAAATTTGTTATTGATGCGATCAATTAGTAATTGGAACACGTGTCGTACAATTTAGGGAGAAACAGTGCTCGTAATTTTAAATCAGTCTCGCGCTGCGCGCTCGTCTGACTTTGAAATTGTTCGTCCGATTACTCCCTGAATTGTACTCCACATGGTGAAATTACTATTTCAAATTACCGCAAACTTCCGAAAGTAATGAGCCTCGTTCCTTTTGGAAAAGCAGCCTTTGGGGCTCATTACTTTCGGGGGGACGTTACTATCGGGTACGGGGGGGGGGGNGGGGGGGGGGGGGGGGGGGGCGTTACTTTTGTGTACCAAAAAGCGCTATATGAAATTGATACGACTGAGCTTTTTTCGCAAAATTAAAGGTGTAAATTCGTAAAACCATTCCTTAAAACTAAATTCCCCGTTCCTGTTTAAAGCTATTTTGCCACGCTTCAGGTCAAGACCATGTTGTCAGTAGTCGACAGGAAAGCGAGTCAGATACCGAAAACCGTTTCGACTTCATGACGCACTGCTATGTTTACAGTCTATCTGCTTTAGCAATATCTCAGAGCGTAGGTGGAGTTTTAAATTTAAATTTGAAGAAACGTTTCTTTTAACAAGCTCCTGCTGATAATGATAAGGAGTTGTTAATTTTAATTTTAAAAAAATCCTTTTATTACGTTCCTGTTATTTGATGAAAATTATACGGTTTTTGCTTGAACACGGCGCAGCATGAACTGACGAACCACGAACTGACATTTCACAACGTGATCGTACCGTAACGTTCACCTTACTATTGAAAGGTCTCACTGTTTTCGGTGGGAGTTGAGGGAGGAGGGGGCGTGGAGTGGGTTTTGCCCTTACCAAACCAAACACTATTTTAAATGTATTTAAATACTATTTTTAAAAACTGTTTTTAACCTATTT